AATAGTTTTTGAGTTGTGGCAGTATTTGATTGAGCCATCGATATATCAAAACCTATTGAACGAATGAAAACCGGACCTGCATTTCTCGGTTTGTTTTCATTTAATATGAATGATATTTATTCGGAAAATTTTATTTCTCCATGTATCGAAGGGTCCCGAGACGAATACCTATATTGTTGAGTTTTCATTCAAATTTTTGTTATTTAATTTCGATGAAAATGTTATTTCTGGGAAAGCAAATGTGTGCGGGTATTGTACTTGCGGTACATGTACGGACGCGATGTATTGTAGTGTTTTCCAATTATCTAATGCAGCGATGTGTGCGAATATCATATATACGAGGATTGGATAAGGGCAGTTTTAATGAGTAAGAACAAATTACGTTTCATATAGAGAGAACGTTGAGTTGGAATGAATTCGTAGAAGTTCTATATAAATGGAATCATCCATTCTCTTTTAGGTCAACTTTTACACAGTGTGCCCTTAAAAACAGTACACCCTGATATTTGGGCAATAATGATTAGATTTCAAAAAATACTGAAACCGATTTAGTTTTAATCCAAAGGGATCACCTTTCATATGTTAACCTGCTTCCTCCAACCCTTTATTCTATCTACAATGTGTGGCACATCATCGAAAAAATATTCAGTCTTGAGTATAGCGCCCGCTAGCGGGTTAAAAAACTGTTACAATCATATTGTAAAGTGTGACAGCTAATTTTAATAGATTAATAATTGGTATAGTCTACTTTCTGATTTGATTTTCAAACATCGCAACTATGGTACTCCGCTTTTACACCATTTCACATCACTAATCCAAAAGGTTGGTGCTTTTGAGCCTTCTCATTAGAAACTGGTTATTCAGGAACTGCAGAAGTTCAATATGGACGTGGCCATGCAGTCTTTTTATGTTTTTTTTTTTATTGTAAACAGTAAACTAATGAAGAAAAAGGAAGAGGAGGATAGGGAGTACCAGCAAATGGAAGGCACGTAAAGATAAATAAAAGTTGCCCGAATACTCCGACGTTAAATAATTTCGGATTTTAGGTCCCGGAGTATTCCTAAAAGGGTCCTTGAAACAGGAGTTTCAGAGCTCTGTGGGTATTGCGTAGGAGCGAAGAAAACTGTTAGTATTAGGAGCCAAGATTTTTGTTATAAGTTGAGTTAGGGAGGATCAAAGAACACCTAAATAAGATTATTTTAATGAAATTTTTTTGAATTTATGTTGAGAATAGGCAGAGAGAAAAAGTAATTTTTTACAATAAGTTAAATTAGTCCTTGTTCTGTTAGCTAACTCACTGCTAGCTAGTATTGATCACAGTCACGAAGCTTTGGCTGAAGTATCCATCAACAACGTGGTCACCTTAAGATGAATTAAAGGCCACGCTACATCAAAAGGTAACCGTCTTGCTGATTCACTAGCCAAGAAAGCAGCCAACCAAATACTTTTTGGACCTGGCTTTTATTGGCCTGACAAAAATCGGCAGTGACAGACCTAATCAAAGAACATTTCCTTGTGAAATTCATGGAAAGATGGGATGAAACAAGAAACTGCAGAGTTGCCAGGGAGCTTTTAAGTTATCCTGACAACACTGCAGCAAACAAATACTTGACTATGACTAGACAGAATGTGTGCCTAGTCACAGGTATTCTGACTGGTCATTGCCAAGTACGAAAGCATCTCCATATCATGGGGCTGTCAGAATCCTCACTCTGCAGAGGGTGCGAACAAGAAGATGAGACCATCGAGCATATCCTTTACGATTGCTCGATGTTCTCATTTATTAGAAGATTTGTAGATTTGTGTTCGGCGAGTTTCGGTTAACACCGGCCGATATAAGAGAAGCACCTCTTGGCGACGTTGTCAACTACATTAAATCTGTAGGCTGGCTCACGAGCTAGGAGGTGCCTATCTTCTCAGGAGGATGCATAATGGGCCTAATGAGGCCTAAGTGCCGTGGGGTAACCCACCCTCCACACGTTACAGATACAGATAGTCCTTCGTCTGTTAGAATAACAAATTGAAGCTTAAAACTGCTAACACAATGCTAGCTAGTATTGATGAAAGTGAGTCTACTGGTAATGAAGTTAAAGCAGGAACACGATGAATTGACAAATTATGAGGAAAGATGGGCAGCTTCATTTTCTGACTGAATGTTAACAAAAAACAATATAACTGTATGTTAAGAAAAAATAAAGTTGTATTTTCTAATTTTATAAAAAAATTAAGTTTTCTTTCTTTATATTGCATTATTATTTCTAATGAGCTTAAAATACTTAAAAACACACCCAAACAACGAAAACTGAAAAAGCTTTCTATTATCAAATACAATTATTCTATTTAGGTTGCTAAAATACATTAAACTCATCAAAGAAGAATAATTTTGCTTGGCATTCATTCTATATTATACTCTTCATACTTTAACAGCTCCCCCCCTTAACCCCACATTTTTAAACATATTTATTTTAGAGTCAAATAGGCTTCATCTCCTTCTTCCCTTCAAGTTGATATCGTTCATTTCAGAATTGTTTCCCCATATAGAGCTTCATTTTTACTAAAAATTTCATGCTTTTTGTTTTGATTTGATTTTTTTAATTGCAACTCCCCTTAACTCCTATTTTTATTCATAGGTTTCATCCCCTCGTAGAGCTTGATTTTCCTGGACATTTCAAAATGATATCCTTTTCGTTTTTGATTTATGTTCTTTAAATTTCAACCCCACTTAACCTCCATTTTTAATAAAACATTTTTAAACGTTGTTTAAAATTTGATGAAAATGATTTTGGTAACAAAAATTTTAAATTTGGATCAATCAATATTAAAAAAATTTGTCTCGAAAGTAAACCTATAATACTCTTCACAGACTACTATTTGAAGACTAAGAGTGTATGTAATAAACAAAACAAAAACTAGATCTATTGACCTTGTCGTTGCTAATAGTGATATTAGACTTACATCAAAGGAATAAAAATATTTTTAGAACACGATATTAAGCGACCAAATAAAAACAAAAAAATTGTCTGCCACTTCGCAAAATAATTTATGTCATGTGGAAAGATTTACCTAAATAACTTAATTAACAATTTATTGCCTGTAATTTTTGCAAAAATTTTACACAATAATCGGTTAATTTATACATCGGAGTAATAAATTGAATAGCTTGACAAACTCATTCGTAAAATATTCTTTTTTATAGAAGCTCCAAGCTACAAATGAAGGTTTTGTTTTGACAGACTGATGGTGTTATTAACCCTGAAATATTTTTGGAATTTATAAATAAAAAAATTTAAAAATTGTATTTGGTGTTTTAGAATTTATAAACTTAAAATTGTGGGATGTCATTAGGGAAGTAGGCAGAAAATTAATATTATTCCCACGCCACCTCAACGTGCTACCCTGTATTTCTATTTTTTTTTTAACGAGCTTTTTTTCTAGTATCTCTATGTGACAAAACGAGTTACATACATAAGGATATTTGGGAAAGTGTTAAAGTTTATTAATATTAATATCGAAACAAAAAATAATAGCAAGCTATGTGGACGCATCGCTTCATTGTATAAAATTCAAATATTGCTTGTGACATTTCTGTTTACTTGCTAGTACAAAAGTTTTCGTAATATTTTGAGTTAGTTTAAATCAAATTGCTAATAAACTTATCAAAAATGATTAAATGATTTACAGTTTGCAAGACAGAGCTGAAATTGTGATGGGACTGCAAACAAAAATTATTTGCTGACTTGCACAGTTATTTATTGAAAACAATCTTAACAAAAATGTATCTGCTGTTTATATAAGGGATCTAATACAAAAACTTTTTAAACTGGGCCTGTAAATAATAAAAAACGTGATATGAATAATCGTGGCGAACAAGATAAAGCAATACAAGTAGCAGTTCTTGGTCTTGGTCCTAAACTTTCGAGATTGTCAAAAGTCCATAATATTAAAATTAAATAAAATGCGGCCTTATAAAATAAAACCAAGAGTTGGGTGATGATGACTTCGATTGAAGACTCAAATTTCGTGAAACTAGGACAGATGATAGATATGATTTGGCAAAATAGGAATATTTTTTTCAGTGAGTAGATATACTGATAGACTATGGGACTCGACCCTACGCACTACCCACTAAAACTCAACATTTACCGACGTCCCCGAATCGTTGTTAAACTTGCAATCGAGGCCGTCGGCTGTCAATTTACTTGGTCATCCTCTCTCTTCCCTTTTCTTACTTTCCATAACTTTACCGAAAAACGACTTTGCTTCCATCCAACCCTCTCTCGTTCTCAACATTGTTTCAGCAATAGTGTTCCTCGTCGGGTTCCTTCTCGTTCTTAGGGCTAACTGAGTCCTTTCTCTGTCCCATGGTATCCATCTAAACAGAGTAAGCTCCGGCGTATCCGTGCCTTCACAATACCGGGATAGATTTGTTTGTAAGCAGAATTTCTATTGTATGAAGTGATTAATTTATCATAATTTTATATAAAAGTATGTTATCATTTCTGTTGCTAACAAATGTATATGGTTATGTGCTAGGAACTTTATTATGTAAAAATACCAGTCCCTGTCAATTTATTACACAGGGGACTGTTCTCTGCAACAGGGGACTGTTTTTTCTTGTAAGAGGTTTTCTCGCCACAGAGAAAACGGTTCCTTACGAATGACGCTGGTTACGGGCGGTTCTCGAGCGCCAGATTTTTGATGATGGTTTACTCCACAAACTTTCGAAACGGCGTCGAAAGTACTCGGGTAGCTACAGATGGAGATGAAAAATTCCAGGGGTCAAAGGTCACTTAGACACAGGTAATAGTAGGCCACAAGCAACGGGCTTTAATCGTTGCTTGGGCTCGTACAGAATTTATCACTAGCTGAAATATAAGGGGGAAATAAAGTAGGGAATTATTAACCAGTAATACGGCAGGTTAACATTGACACATATATTGTGATTAACTATTTACAACAAAAAAAAAAGAAATTAAATATTTCAACGCCCACCCCAGTTGTGGTGATAGTCAATATAACCCTGAATAAATAAAAAAAAAAGAAACAAAACGGACGGTATTGATTCGCGACTAGTCTCAATCAGACGTCAAAATTAAATTAAAATAAAATGTATGTTTCGGTCGCAGAGAAAAAAATTATTAACTTGGCTATTTACGTTTAACCGCGGTATCGGGAATTAAACTAAAATGTAGGTATTTTGCTATTTAGGTGAAGAAAAAATTAGCTAAACGGTCGAAGAGAGTGCGAGGAGACAGGGACGCGAAAGAATTACTTATAGTAAATACACGGAAAGAAAATAAAAATAAATTTATACCCAGGGTAGCCTATTATCCCAGAATGAGCTGATCGTCATCACGAGCCCGCTCAGACAGGGTAATGAAGCTATTTTTGATTTCTACAACTTGCAGTTTGCACGAAAAAAAAAATGAAGCATATAAAGCGGAAAAGAAAACTAACGCGGATAGCACCTAGTCCAAGAATGAACTGATCGTCATCACGAGCCCGTTCAGACAGGGACAGGATACTATTTAAAGTTATTTAAATTGTCGGTAAAAGAGAAAAAAACAAATTATTATCGGAGGGAAGAAAATTACTAACGCGGATAGTACCTAACAATCAAAAGTCTAAAATCCCCGGTTTTACAATATTACAGAATTAAATCCTATCATTTATTATTTAATTCAAATTCTATCCCTTTTTAAAGAAACGGTATGATATCTGTAAAGAAATAAATTTAAATGTTTATTAATGAAAGCAAATTAAATCTTTTATCTAAACACTAACTATAAAAAAACGGTAATATTTTTATCAAGAAACAATTTCTAATATTTATTATTTAAATCAAATTAAATATTTTAACTAAATACTATCTATAAAAACAAAAGAAACGGTATCATTTGCCAAGAAACAAATTCTATTATTAATGAAATCAAATTAAATCTTTTAACTAAACATTATCTATAAAAAAAACGGTAATATTTTTACCAAGAAACAAATTCTAATATTTATTACTTAAATCAAATTAAATCTTTTAACTTAACACTATCTATAAAAACAAAAGAAACGGTATCATTTGCCAAGAAACAAATTCTATTATTTATTAATGAAATCAAATTAAATCTTTTAACTAAACACTATCTGAAAATGTTCCTATTCCTACAAGCTAATTCGGTTTTTAAAATATCAATATCAAACGTAAAAAGCAGAACAAGGTTTTTTACCTAACGGATTTGTAAATACACGGAAAAAGGAACAAAAATTATCGACGGTGATTTGATTTCGAATTCGGCTTATTAAACTCGACTGCTGGCAACCAAAAATTTATCGAACTGATAATTTTAATAGCATCTCGGGTCTCGCTCAACCACTGTAGATTCCCTTTCCCAAATAGAAATCCCACCTATTTATTAAAAATGAAAATAAATTGATTGAGGAAAATTGACTTCATTACAGTGTAATCAAAAAATATAGTCTTTTTGTAGATAGTGCTTCGCAAAGGCTCCCAAAAATAAAACAAAAAGAAGAGAAGTAATAGTAGAACAAAAAATCTGATGTGTCCAACACATGACTTTCCTATCTAGTTATTATAGGCTTTTTCCGGTTATTTTGTACAACCTATTGCAACACCTCTATAAATGTTTAGAGGATAAACTAAATATATACATTTTCCACATACATCTAACTTGAAACAATTTTCTATATTTATTGAAAACGAAAATACTGAAAAATTTAAATTTAGCACTCTTCCCCAATTTTTCCATTGCGGTCCATTTTAGAAAAATCATGTAAATTTTAGAGATCGATATCGGAAACAACTTTCAGTTTAACAATTTTCTTAAAAATCAGAATTTTGCACATTTTGTCAAATTTCTCGAATACGGACCATTTCAGAAAAATTTGGCATAAAGCAAAAATTATAGATAACAATATTAGAAGTAACTTTTATTTGAACAATTTTTTTTTCTCCAAATCAAATATAAATGACAGATATATTCCATAAAATATAAAAACGACCTCCTATAAAGAACCCCCCGGATGTTCCCACTTTGTCCAAAATCTAATCATTTCACCTCAGGCCGAAATAAAACTTAAGTTTTTTCCTTTATCCGTTTTTGAGTTTTCTTCAAAATTCGTAATTTACACATTTTCTCAAATATCTTGAATACCGTCCATTTTAGAGAAATTATGTGTGGGATAAAAATTATAGAGAATTATATTACAAACAACTTTTATTTGATTAATTTTATAAAAATAGTTATTTTCCTAACAAGTGCGGAAAGTGTTACTTTCCCGCACGCGACTGCAGCGTTCAAGTGCGGGAAAGACACTTTACGCATGAGTTAGGAACATTATTTTTTCTACGACCGTATATACAAAAAAGTAGGAAAAATTATTTTTGGAAAATTATTTTATTTCAACATATACAAATCTTTAAATAAAAACAACTAATTATTATGGATATTAATGTTAAATACACAATTTGTAGCATTTTGTAAATTATGTAAAATTGCCGGTACAGAGGAATTAGTTGGTGTTAATTGGCTGTTAATAGTCGTAACGCTCGTAGATTGAAAAGATGACGTGGACGGGAGTGACATCGGTTGCAGGTCGCATGAAGGTGAAAATGACGGTGGCAGCAAAGGTTGCAAGTCATTTCTATTTGAAAGAATTTTATTCGAAATGTTTTTCTTCTGTGTTTCGGAGTCCTCCAAATAGCCTTCAGCGATAGTAGTGGACTTCCAGCCACCGAGACGTTTTATATTGGTTATCGCTTCACCTGAGTCTGCTAGGAATGTTGCTGAAGAACGTCTAAAACTGTGTCCTGTATATCGTTCAGGATAAGGTAGACGCAAATATGCAGCAATCTCTGTTGGCATCTTACCAAAGGTGTTTACGCCAACGCACTGAATTGAGCATTTTCCCTTCTTATAATTAATAAAAAAGCAGCGATGCGGAGTGGTAGGTGGTCGTAAACCTGCGTACTTTCTGTACATCTTCAGAAAGTTTCCATTATTTATTTCTTCACATAAAACAAATGATCTTGAAGAATGATTTTTGGAATCGGAAATTTTCACAACTATCAGATTGCCTTTATCTTGTATATCATCGAGAGTGATATTTACAAGCTCCGCTCTGCGGAGAGCACCAGCTAAAGCAAAAATGGTACTCACTTTAATCATAAGGTATACCTCATCAGGGGCTAACATAAACCTGGATATATCTATCTTCTTTGGTAAAAACCTGCGCCTTCTGTGCTCGAAAACCAAAATTTTTTTGTTTTAGAAATTACGTTAACTTATGGAACTGGCTTATATCCAAATTTTGTTTTATTTTTACTAAACTTTTCACCATCGAATAGCGAGACCATAAAGTATTAGATTTCAAAAACTTACGTAGGTGCGAAAAATACGCCAGAAACACCTCTTCTTTGTAGGTTTTTACCCCTTCCTGTTTACACCATGTGACAAAATGGTCGTATTGTTTTTCATATCTTCCTCGTGATTTGGCAGGTAACACCTCCAAATGTGCTTCATTTGCAGCTTTTAAAATGGCTTCGGGCAGCTCTTCATCCGATGAATCCATTATTTCTTTAATTTATTTTAATTCAGTTGACGCTTCAACAAATAACTTTGGACGTTTTTGTAACAATAACACGCCTTGGTTACCATATAGCAACCATATCAAGCCATACATGTCACAGCCTAGTCTGACTTTTAAAAATATACAGAAGGTATATAAAAATATCTCTATTATTAAAGTTTTCCAAAAAATTAAAATTATAACAAAAAGCAAGAAAAAAAGTAAATTTTATTAAATGGAATAGTTGGAAAATACTAAATTACCTATTGTAACAATAGTTATAACATCCGAGGTAAAAAAACTATACAATAGGTAAGGCCAAATATTCATAATTTTACTTTCCCGCACTAGTGCGGGAAAGTGATTTTTTCCCGCACTAGTGCGGGAAAGTGACACTTTCAAAACTAAAATGCGTGCGGAAAAGTGGGTAAAAATACACGGTCGTAGAAAAAATATTTTTTTTACATTTTGTCAAATGTCTCGAATACGAACCACTTTAGGAAAATTTTGTATAGAATAAAAATTAAAGATAATAATATTGTAAGTAACTTTTATTTGAAGAATTTTCTTCTCCAAACGTAAATAACAGATATATTTCATAAAATATAAAAATGACCACCTATAAAGTACCCCCCAGATGTTTCGACTCTGCCCAAAATCTAGTTCAGTGGAGGCCGGAATAAAGCTTAATTTTAAAATTTGGTGTTTTTCTTTATATCCGTTCATAAGTTATCGAGGATACATACACACGCAGACACACAGACATCTTTGAGAAAACAGTCAAAACGGATTCAGTGGACCCCAAAACCTAAAAAACCGTCGAAAATTCGAGATCGAAAAAAATCATGATTCCTATACTTTCCTTATCTGTATACAGATAGGAAAGTAAAAAGAATTGCTGAACGGTTAAGGTGTGAAAGACTTAAAAGACCTAAAAGAGATCCTAAAAAGAAATAGGAATTGAGAGAAAAAGAACGTCGCAAATACTAGATGAAGAAAGAAAAGGACACAAGAAATTTAGTCAAACATAAGAATCGTCGTGAGCATAATGCCGCAAAAAAAATTGGAAAGAGTATTGTACAACCTATCGGGCAAAGAAAAACGCATTGAAAGAAGTTACGAATACTTTTATTCGGTAAAATACACCTGCTTCAGAGCGCCTTCCCACAGTGTTAATGCCTTGTCTAGGAATCTCGATAGTCAATGTCGTGATGATCTAGAGCAGTGTTACTCAAAGTGTGCTCCGCGGAGCCCTGGAGCTCCGCACAGCCTTTGTTGGGGCTCCGCGAAGAAAATAATAGTCATAATAAGAAAAAATAAGCAGTAAGGGAGTGACCTGGCTTGATGACCTTTTTTTTTTAGAAATTACTAAGAGTGAGGAGAAATATGATTTTGCTTAAAGACCTTTTTTTTATTAGGGCTA